ATCCAGTTGGGGAAGGCCTTAACAGCAGCCCTTACCTACAGCTCAAAGTCCTCACTGTCAACATTTTCTGTTTTCATGTTCCTGCAGCTCTGGCCCAATGTTCCATCCGGCAATGCTTTTTTTAATGTTCTCTAGTGAATACAAAACATTCTCAAGGTTCAACCGTTGCTCTGGAGTTTACTGACTTTCTTCTCTCCCTTCATAAAGGAACTACCGAGTTCTCATCCACCGTCTCTCTTCTGGCAGTGTCATTTCAATCTGCAACTCTTCTGCAATATCCCTTGCATCTGTTTATGCTGCTTTGAGTCCTGTGTCCCTGTACTCTTGTAGGAAGTCTTTCACTGCATCAGTCTCACTTCTCAGTGCTTCTATTGACACATGGGGACTCTGTAGGAGTTTGCTGACACAATTGATTTGATACAATATGTTATACCAAACAATAACTTGCAGTAACTCCATGTCCTAATTTCTTTGTATATGCCCTGTGATGTGGATACAGCCTCAGCATCATTTTTCTCCAGGGCATATGTTGTAAGTGCAGCTAAAGCCTCCAAAACTTCAGGAATTTGATACCGACAAGCTTTAACACTGTCTACACGACACTCCCATTTGGTTGTTGACAGATTCTTGACTGTCAAGTAGACATGCTCTTGCATTATCTCCCAACACTGCACAGAGGAGCTGAACAGGTTCAAAGCCCTCTGGAGAACCCCAAAGCTCAGCAACTTTACAGATGATTTTGCTGCATCCCCAACTACTAGATTAATTAAGGTGTGACTCTCACATGGAACACACACGGTAGTCAGAGATGTTCAGTTTGACTTTGTTCAGATGGTTTAAAAATGTGTCGAACAGTCCCCTCCCAGTTGTATCATGGACATCGATGAACCCCACAAAGTGCTCTTCAATGGCAACACCATTGTATTTCACACACGGTGTAAGATACGTAATACCACTGACAGCTGTTCAGTAAGGTTTATATCTGGCGTGCAGTCCATGATGACAGCAAATAATTGTACCTTCTTAATCTTCTCAACAATTCCCTCTATTGTTTTATGTGCAACCAGAGTTATCAGTTCATTTCGGATACTCTTGCTAAGATAATAGTCACTTATTTCCTGATTTTCAGGGTCAAATTGTGCCATTAACTCCACCTGCTAGTGATTTACCTCAAGTTCCATTAACTCTTGGTTGATTGTGTCAACGGTTGTGCCTGTTTTCAATCTTTCCGCAAGGTGTCGCCAACTCTCCATGTTTTGTAAATGCTCAGTACAACGCTCATGTGCTTTTAAATTGGTCCTGATATGCTTCCAGTAACGAAAACCATCACTGCTCAAATGAGTCTCTTTTTCCAAAAATGCAACAACAAAAACAAAAAGCTGCATCAGCTCTACTTGAATACAGAAGCCATGTCTGTGTACTATCAATCTTTTTTATAACTTTTTCATAGTTGTCACTAGAAAATCTTCAAGGGACTTTGAGGGAATACACTTTGACGGAATACAATATCTCTGATCTGTTTTGGCCCCTTTTTGACAAGATCACACCTATGTTTGTCAGACAGCGCCTCCGGCTACAGTGCCTCAGTCTTCTAAATACCTAACCCTGGGATAGAGTTGTATTTTTCAGTGGGACAATTACACTCATTTTAATGCCAAAGACTCACCAGAATGTTTTTCCAAGAGGTGTTGAGTGTTCCCGAGGGGTCTAGTCTCAGTCCTGTTTTAAATCTGCTTGAAAGTCTGAGACAAGGTTTGAATATTGCTGTCCATCAATTATTCCTAATCACATTTACTGAGCTTAAGCAATTTTACAAAAACAATGAATATACAGTATGTTGCCTAAGACTTCTGCAGAGTTGGTAGTATCTTATTCAAAATGTAAATTATTATAGCTGTAATTCAGGGCCGGTATTATGGATGGGCCTTAGGGCCGGCCATGGTCCCTATCGTACCTCCTTGCCTGTCCAAATAAAATATTGAAATATTGATAATTTATTTGACGAGACGCGCGTCGACAGAAAGACGCATTAATCTCACTTAAAGCATCCGAGCGAGCGAAACAGCACCCCTCTGTATCAGTATGTGTAGACCATGTACAGTGAGGGAAAAAAGTATTTGATCCCCTGCTGATTTTGTACGTTTGCCCACTGACAAAGAAATGATCAGTCTATAATTTTAATGGTAGGTTCATTTGAACAGTTAGAGACAGAATCACAACAAAAAAATCCAGAAAAACGCATGTCAAAAATGTTATAAATTGATTTGCATTTTAATGAGGGAAATAAGTATTTGACCCCCTCTCAATCAGAAAGATTTCTGGCTCCCAGGCGTCTTTTATACAGGTAACGAGCTGAGATTAGGAGCACACTCTTAAAGGGAGTGCTCCTAATCTCAGTTTGTTACCTGTATAAAAGAGACCTGTCCACAGAAGCAATCAATCAATCAATCAGATTCTAAACTCTCCACCATGGCCAAGACCAAAGAGCTCTCCAAGGATGTCAGGGACAAGATTGTAGACATACACAAGGCTGGAATGGGCTACAAGACCATCGCTAAGCAGCTTGGTGAGAAGGTGACAACAGTTGGTGCGATTATTCGCAAATGGAAGAAACACAAAATAACTGTAAATCTCCCTCTGCCTGGGGCTCCATGCAGGATCTCACCTCGTGGAGTTGCAATGATTATGAGAACGGTAAGGAATCAGCCCAGAACTACACGGGAGGATCTTGTCAATGATCTCAAGGCAGCTGGGACCATAGTAACCAAGAAAACAATTGGTAACAAACTACGCCGTGAAGGACTGAAATCCTGCAGCGCCCGCAAGGTTCCCCTGCTCAAGAAAGCACATATACATGCCCATCTGAAGTTTGCCAATGAACATCTGAATGATTCAGAGGAGAACTGGGTGAAAGTGTTGTGGTCAGATGAGACCAAAATCGAGCTCTTTGGCATCAACTCAACTCGCCGTGTTTGGAGGAGGAGGAATGCTGCCTATGACCCCAAGAACACCATCCCCACCGTCAAACATGGAGGTGGAAACATTATGCGTTGGGGGTGTTTTTCTGCTAAGGGGACAGGACAACTTCACTGCATCAAAGGGACGATGGATGGGGCCATGTACCGTCAAATCTTGGGTGAGAACCACCTTCCCTCAGCCAGGGCATTGAAAATGGGTCGTGGATGGGTATTCCAGCATGACAATGACCCAAAACACACGGCCAAGGCAACAAAGGAGTGGCTCAAGAAGAAGCACATTAAGGTCCTGGAGTGGCCTAGCTAGTCTCCAGACCTTAATCCCATATAAAATCTGTGGAGGGAGCTGAAGGTTCGTGTTGCCAAACGTCAGCCTCGAAACCTTAATGACTTGGAGAAGATCTGCAAAGAGGAGTGGAACAAAATCCCTGCTTTTCCCGGTGATATACTTTCAGCAGAGAGGAAGAGTTGAAGCGAGAGGGCTCACGCTCGCTAAAATCTGTCCAGTATAAACCCAATGCGTTTCAATAGGAATAATATGCAGACCTAAGCTTGTCGCCTCTGGGACAAAGACACCCATTGTTAGGATGGAGACATGAGCATCTCGTCATGATATATGGCTCTCTGGTTTCAGCCTCTTGCGAATTGGAAAGGCAAGTTGGCGATTTTTCATCAGGATATTTTCTACTGTGTTTATTTGTCGGCTTTAGGCTTTAGGCCTATGTATTTTACTTAGTTGATGATGTAAGTTATTTCCCGCCTATGGAAATAAAAAGGCCCGTCCAACTGATTCGTTCTGGCGCCGAGCCTGCTGTAATTGCTTCCACATGTGCTTCCACCAAGTATTAACTCGGTGTGAAGACACGCAATCATTACATGTTTTTATTGTTATTATTATTAATTTAGAAAATGTGGAGCAGGTTGTGTAGATCTGAATGAACCTTTTTACATTTAATTTTAAGGCAGCAAAATGTGACAACTGTGCGAAGGGTGTAGACTTTCACTAGGCACTGTAGGCCTATCAAGGTACCTTATCAATGTTTATCAATTCCTTCCGTTTCAACCGTTTGTCTTTATGTGACTGTGTTTTCTCAAATTTGGATTTTTTCCATGTTATAAATATAATTCACAACTTCGGTCCACTCTCTCAATGTTGGTTTTACATCTCACAGCAAGTTTCTAGTGAGTGGGCAATCCTTGTTTTTAAATAGGTCTGGAGACAGGAAAACACACACTTTGAGGTTGCGTTGGGGTATGGGTTTATTTTTGATTATTTTCCCAGTATTTTTCTACTGCTGCATGTGTGATAAAATATGACAATTTCGCCACATTTTCTCCAGTAAATTGATGGCCCAGCGATGACAAGCTACTCTGAGGGTACTTGAGTTAGAAATAGATTACTTTTGTCACCCATCTACAGTAGGCCTAGCTAATATGGACTATAGTTTTGGGGTTATTTAGCCTGGAGATTACATAGGAAGTATCCAAATAATGACTAGATTATGTGGTTATGGTCAAGATTTCGGAGTTTCTTTATTTAAAACAGTGTTTATTACATATGACTGTTTTAAAATACCTGGGCTGTAGAAATACTAAGAAGATATTGAGGTGATGAGGATGTGGTTTCACTTAATGTCAATAAACCTGTCTTTGAGTGATCAACAAAACTCAGAATTCAATTATCTGATTTCTATACAGATTTGTATAAAAAGTGGTTTCTAATTTTAAAAATTCAACTCAATACACTTGAAACAATCTGAAAACAAACCAAATGAAACAAACTCCACAAACCTTAACTTGTTCATAGGCCAATGTCAATTGAACAATTAAACCTCATTCTATCCAAAGTCATAAATGACTATTCAAGTAGTGATTACCAATCATACATTAATATGTTGGTTTTTTTTAAACAGAAAATACATTTCATTAACATTAAACAACAAATACATTTATTATAATAAATAAATACATGTTTTAGTTAAAAATACATAAATATAAATAATGTATATAATACTTAATACTTAAGTTGTACATGATATTCCTACCTGAAATACAAGCATATTTACTTGCACCATCTGAATCATTGCAAAATGACTAAGCTGCCTTCACAGAGATCATTCTGTAGCCTGTAATTTTTGCAGAATTGTTTTCGAGGACTAGAGTAGCCTGCAACATCTTTTTCCCCACAATCCTCGGAGTGAAACTGAAAATCCTCTCCACAGTGCCCCCTGGCTTTAACAGGTGAACCCTGCAAGATAGGAAGGAATGTATACAGTATGTAAGGCATTTGTCTGAATGATGCAACATATGAATTGACAAGACTGGTTATTCATGTGAAGGTTAGGGGAATGGAGATTAAAGGGGAAGTTCACCCAATTACAAAATGACATTTGTTTCTTTACCCTGTAAGCAGTCTATGGACAAGGTAATTTGTAATAAGAGTGAACTATCCCTTTGAATCTAGTGAAGTTAATCTACTGCATGCCATCTCATAATGAAAATGTTGAAGTGCAAAGAGTTGACAGAATGTAGTTTTGTCTCTGGATCTTGTAAATTTCCTCTGTGGTTATCGCTCAAATTATATAGCACGAAGTAACCATGTACAGTATAATTACAGCCTTTATATAAGAGTTACAATTGTTTCTCCAAATGATCTTCAATTGGCCCTTATTGCGCAGCATACGTTCTGTCCTTGATTAACCATACAAATATTTAAGGACTTATGACATATACCTTACAACTATGCCACTCCTAGTGGTTGCACCTTCTTTTGCTAATACTCAATGGAATCCAAATTGGCAGTTACCAACACTGCCTTTCGTCACTCCTTATGTAAGAAAAGTTTTCTAGTTGACGTCTAAGACACCAAAGAATGAAACACATTTAAAGAACACTAAAAGAACACGTTCTTACCTTGAGTGAATTTTCCCCTCGATCAAACCAGAGCCAGCCACGGTTAATATGCCGCTCACAGGTACAGAGAAAGGGTTGCGGAAGACTACGAGGGCAGTGTGCTCCTTGTGTGGCACGATGGAGTCTTCATCTGCAATCTAAAGAATAAAAGGTTCAAGCTATGTCCTTCATCTGCACACAGGATGTTATCAACTCATTTGTTTTAGGTATAAAACAAGGAATGGACCTATTTCACACAGCAAATCACTGTCTAAACATAGCTATATTATTTAGTCTAGGTCTAATTGCTTTGAATGTCAACACAAGATGTATAACGGCATTCAAATACCCTGTGTGAAGTTAATTCGGTGTCTAGAGACTTTCTGAAGAGATGCTTATACCTGTATAAAGAGCTGAGGGCTGGTGATGTTGAACTCCTCTGAGGCCAGGACTCTCTCCTGAGTGGACTCGTCCTCCATGACCACAGCCAGGTTTACCAGGTCATCTCCCATCAGAGACTCATACTGGACATGGCCGATCTGGTGATGAATGGCCTTAGCTGGAGGGAGGGAGAGAGAGAGGGAGAAAGAGAGAGGGGGGACAAATTAGTGAATACATGGTAGGTTCAACAAAATGGCATGGTGTCCCCGAAATGTTCCATATGACCAAAGAGATAATTTCAAGGAAAATTACTACTGGTATGTCAAGAAATATAACAGATTTAATTCCATATATCAGTGCGGAGGGAGATACACTATCTTCAGGGTGCTAGCCATTTGACATTATGCGCCGGAGTTAACGTTAGCGATGCGTTAAGGTTCCTACCTTCGTGCGGCGCTATCCGTATGATGTTGTGGGCCTCCCAGAAGGCGTCTGAGGGACTGTGGTTGTACTCCTTGGTCTGAGCGTTGACATGCTCCCTCAGCACCTTGGGGACGCTTTCCATGTTCGTGACCATGACTGTGAAGGAGATGTTTTCCCCAGCAGCAGGCACTTTAAGGAGGCTCAGAGACACTGAGAGGCCCTGAGTTGACCCTATGAGAAACATATGAATGGAACATTAAATGAAGTGTATTATGTCAATGACTCAAAGAAGCGTAATATGTCAAGGACACAATTAAGTGTATTATGTCAATGATTCAATGAAGTTTATTATGTCAATTACTCAATTAAATGTATGATGTCAATGAAATGTGTGGAAAGATGGAATATAGACAGAACCAAATAGAAGATCAAATAACATTTGGAAATAGGAATATGAATTTGCTTGTAATAAATACTGTTGAATAGTGCTATTTTTTCATACACTAATTGAATAATGTAGATAATAAGTTAACACTTACTTGCACCCCTTGATCTGTGGGAGGACATGGCAGCTGCATATGAAACAAAAAGGATTTAGATTGAGATATAAAGACGATCATTACAGTATAAACACAACGCTGTGACATTGAGACTCATGAGTGATCAGTATTCTTGAACCAATATTCACAATTGTTTTATGGATTCATAACAGCCACTCAAAGACCACTTTTCTCATAATATAGAGAGGTAGTGTAGGGTTATGGTGAATCCTTGTATATCCCTGATATTACATATTTTATACAGCATTAGTTGATGTTGGATATTGTGAACTGCATAGGATTTGGAGGATGAGGACATTCCATGTATTTATTTCTGTCACTGGTGGGAGCCAGAAGGTATGCGTGCCAAGATAGCTGGGGGCTACTGGTGCAGTTGTAAACCGTAGTCTGGCTTTTTTATAGCGGTTTTAGAGCAGTGGCTTCTTCCTTGCTGAGCGGCCTTTCAGGTTATGTCGATATAGGACTCGTTTTACTGTGGATATAGATACTTTTGTACCTGTTTCCTCCAGCATCTTCACAATGTCCTTTGCTGTTGTTCTGGGATTGATTTGCACTTTTCGCACCAAAGTATGTTCATTTCTTGGAGACAGAACGCGTCTCCTTCCTGAGCAGTATGATGACTGTGTGGTCCCATGGTGTTTATACTTGCGTACTATTGTTGTACAGATGAACGTGGTACTTTCATGCGTTTGGAAATTGCTCCCAAGGATGAACCAGACTTGTGGAGTTCTACAATTTTATTTCTGAGGTCTTGGCTGATTTATTTTGATTTTACCATGATGTCAAGCAAAGAGGCACTGAGTTTGAAGATAGGCCTTGAAATACATCCAAAGGTACACCTCCAATTGACTCAAATGATTTCAATTAGCCTATCAGAAGCTTCTAAAGCCATGACATCATTTTCTGGAATTTTCTAAGCTGTTTAGAGGTACAGTCAACTTTATGTATGTAAACTTCTGACCCACTGGAATTGTGATACATTGAACAATAAGTGAAATAATCTGTCTGTAAACAATTGTTGGAAAAATTACTTGTGTCATGCACAAAGTAGATGTCCTAACCGACTTGCCAAAACTATAGTTTGTTAACAAGAAATTTGTGGAGTGGTTGAAAAACGAGATTTAATGACTCCAACCTAAGTGTATGTAAACATCCGACTTCAACTGTATATATATATTTTTAAAGGCACTGTGTATATATATATATATATATATATATATATATATATATATATATATATATATATATATATATATATATATATATTTATATATATATATATATATATACACAGTGCCTTTAAAAAGTATTCATCCGCCTTGGCGTTTTTCCTATTTTGTTGCATTACAACCTGTAATTTAAATGGATTTTTGTTTGGATTTCATGTAATGGACATACACAGAGTAGTCCAAATTGGTGAAGTGAAATGAAAAAAATAACTTGCTTCAAAATATTCTACAAAATTAATAACAGAAAAGTGGTGCGTGCATATGTATTCACCCCCTTTGCTATGAAGCCCCTAAATAAGATCTGGTGCAACCAATGACCTCCAGAAGTCACATAATTAGTTAAATAAAGTCCACCTGTGTGCAATCTAAATGTCACATGATCTGTCACATGATCTCAGTATATATACACCTGTTCTGAAAGGCCCCAGAGTCTGCAACACCACTAAGCAAGGTGCACCACCAAGCAAGCTGCACCATGAAGACCAAAGAGCTCTCCAAACAGGTTAGGGACAAAGTTGTGGAGAAGTACAGATCAGGGTTGGGTTATAAAAAAATATCAGAAACTTTGAACATCCCACGGAGCACCATTAAATTATTAAAACATGGAAAGAATATGGCACCACAACAAACCTGCCAAGAGAGGGCCGCCCACCAAAACTCACGGACCAGACAAGGAGGGCATTAATCAGAGAGGCAACAAAGAGACCAAAGATAACCCTGAAGGAGCTGCAAAGATCCACCGTGGAGATTGGAGTATCTGTCCATAGGACCACTTTAAGCTGTACACACCACAGAGCTGGGCTTTACGGAAGAGTGGCCAAAAAAAGCCATTGCTTAAAGAAAAAAATAAGCAAACACGTTTGGTGTTCGCCAAAAGGCATGTGGGAGACTCCCCAAACACATGGAAGAAGGTACTCTGGTCAGATGAGACTAAAATTGAGCTTTTTGGCCATCAAGGAAAAAGCTATGTCTGGCGCAAACCCAACACCTCTCATCACCCTGAGAACACCATCCCCACAGTGAAGCATGGTAGTGGCAGCATCATGCTGTGGGGATGTCTTTCATCGGCAGGGACTGGGAAACTGGTCAGAATTGAAGGAATGATGGATGGCGCTAAATACAGGGAAATTATTGAGGGAAACCTGTTTCAGTCTTCCAAAGATTTGAGACTGCGACGAAGGTTCACCTTCCAGCAGGACAATGACCCTAAGTATACTGCTAAAGCAACACTCGAGTGGTTGAAGGGAAAACATTTAAATGTCTTGGAATGGCCTAGTCAAAGCACAGACCTCAATCCAATTGAGAATCTGTGGTATGACTTAAAGATTGCTGTACATCAGTGGAACCCATCCAACTTGTAGGAGCTGGAGCAGTTTTGCAAAAATCCCAGTGGCTAGATGTGCCAAGCTTATAGAGACATACCCCAAGAGACTGGCAGCTGTAATTGCTGCAAAAGGTGATCATTTCTTTGTCAGTGGGCAAACGTACAAAATCAGCAGCGGATTAAATACTTTTTTCCCCTCACTGTATGTAAGTGTGATATTAAAGTTTGTATTTTTTTATAAATGTGCAAAAATTTATAAAATCCTGTTTTTGCTTTGTCCTTATGGGGTATTGTGTGTAGATTGATGTTTATTTTTTTTTTGTTATCAATTTTTTAATAAGGCTGTAACATAACAAAATGTGGAAAAATTGAAGGGATGGCAGGTAGCTTAGTGGTTAAGAGCGTTGTGCCAGTAACCGAAAGTTCGCTGGTTCTAATCCCCGAGCCGACTAGGTGAAAAATCTGTCGATATGCCCTTGAGCAAGGCACTTAACCCTATTTGCTCCTGTAAGTCGCTCTGGATAAGAGCGTCTCCTAAAAAATTCTGAATACTTTCCTAATGCACTGTATCTATGTGTGTGTGGTGTGTCTTCATAGTTTACAAATAGCTTATTCATGATAGTTATTATAAAGTCTTACCGATTTGATATTAGCATTTGATTCATGACATCACTTCCTGTTCGACTCACCTTCGGTGGGTTTGTAGTCCCCTGTGATGTTCTGAGGCCTTGGTGAGCCTATGGTCTTGGTGACGATGAGGGAGCCAACTCTCTCTGTGTCTGTGCTGGAGCTCAGCACCTGGCCCTGCTTCACAATGACCGTATGGACGTCAGCGTTCACCGCAGCATACACAAAGGGGATGTCGTAGACCAGGTCCACACGCCTGTCTCTGATAGCCTTCACTGGGGCTGGGCCACAGCAGAAGATTCCTAGGAGGGGGAAATATATGGTAGAGGTTTAGAACTAGAAGCAATAGCAGCTGTACTCTTTGGTTGATTCCAGTCTGGATGATGTAGAACGTGTCCTAAATAATATAACAGGTAATAATTATACATATATTTATGTCTGGTTATCAGTGTTGGTGGCTGGCTGACTGTGATAAGTGCAGTGTCCGAATATCATAAAAACTAAAATAATAGTTTTTTACTTGTTATTTATGTATGGGTTTTCAGTTTTATTTAATCTAACTTATTATGGAGTTTCTATTTAGTCTGTTTTGACTCTGACCTCCGCTCCTCTCCTGCGGGGTTGGATCCAAAACCTGCCACCCATCAAATCCTGCACCCAGGTCTGGCCGGGTCATCCAACACTCCACCCATACATGGAAGTTCCTGAAATGGAGGACAAAACAGCACATTTTAATACCAAAGACAGATTGGTTGATTTGTACATGCAATTACTTACATGTTACTTAAAATACTACTTGCTGTTATATAATCTACTTTCATATTATTTAATCTACAAATAATATTTATTATTCAAGTGTGGTAATGCTGTAGACTAGAGATGTGCTTACCATATGCTGTCTTTACTGTGAGGTAGTTTCTTGCCCGTCTCAGAGTAAAACTCCTCGATGACCAGGTTGCCGTTGGTGTCATGGGCTGAGTTGAAGTTGGTGATGACACGGGATGGAATGCCAAGAGCTCTCATGACTAGCAACAGATAGAAATACAAGGATGAAGAATTGTCAATGATTTGACCAATAATTTCTTAACTATTTATATTCCTAACATAAATTAGACAATCTTCTTAAAATATTCCATTACGATTGTGCCATGATGCACATATACAGAAATTCAGCTGGAAGCGATATTATTGAATATGCATAGATACAAATGTTTACAATACATACATTTCCAACATATTCATTACCTGTGCACATCACAGCAGCAAACACCCAGCACTGGCCGTACTTCACTGGGCTGAACTTGGACTTGGCCCATTGTCTCAAAATATCCGCACTTCCTGTCCACTTGGAGGGGGGCACCCCGTTCTTAAAATCGCCCGACCAGTTCCCTCTCAGGACTCCTCGGTCGTCTTCGCAGTTAATCTGATAGAGAATGACACAATTATCTACCCAATGTTCCCTCTAGGGATCAACAACGTTTATTCGGTAACCATTTATTTGACAGGTAAATACCTGGTAACAAGGTACTTCCATGGTCATTTTCTTCTACTCCAAAAGTTAAGTACTAAGTACCATTTATTCAATTCGGAGATAAATTATTTAAGAAAGTTTAATGTAGTAAGATGACTCAATACAATAGTTTTTAATGGCCTTATCACGTAACCTCACTTTAACCTTCATTGCTTGAACTGAAATACATTACATTGAGTGAGTATATTATCAGTATTATAGACTGCCAGTCATATCAAACCAGGAACTGTTTTGTGAGCTCCTGAGCTGTTATTCTCATTCCCACACATAAAGCCTGAGAGATTCATTTACTATCTGAGGGATCTGAGGCGTTGTCACTCACCATGGCAGACACCACCCTACTGAGGTAGACAGGGTCAGCGCGGCGAAGGTAGTCCTTCTGCCAGTTCCTGCCATGCTGCGGGCTGACCTGGAGCAGCTTCAGACAAATATCCAGAATCTCTGGCTCGTACTGCATAGATAGAAAAAAATTGGAATATATATATATTTTTTAAATCTACGTTATACATTTTTCATTTATGTAATTATTTTGTCAATTTATGTCATTATTTCTTACTTTATGTAATAGATTTTTCATTTCTTCCTTTATTCATTTATTTTTAGTCATGTATGTTGTCATGTCAAGCCTTTTTGCAGATCTCTTTGGAAAATATGTAAATTGACTTTGAATGGTATTGTAAAATGTTTTGAAGCTGGTCAGGAGATGCTCACCTGATCGAACGACCAAGGTCTTGATTCAAGGTTTTTAGGGGTCCCCATGTACAATAAACCAGAGTCATTCTTTACATATTCCTCTCTCTGGTCTTCGGAGGGAATGTGCACTGCATCCTCTGGAGGGAGAAAACTTTGATTACTTTAACATCAAACATGGAGTATATATTTGTATCGTATAGTACTGGTACTTAGTTTGAAAATAGATTGATGTAGAAATTTTCCGAAATGAACCCTTACCTCTCCACCGCAATAACGGAGGTAGGATTCAAAATGGCCGCCATGCATCACCAAGGTTATCACACTTAGTAAAGCACTTTTGATGAAAGGCACTGCATTAATGCAGTCCCTATTAGCATTTCCATAAATATTATTATGCTATCTAATCAAGATTAAAGTTTGCACTAGACTCAAGGACAATCTGTGTAGGGGGAAATTCCATTCCATTTCGTGTCTTGAATCAGAATTTCTATTCACTTTCATATTGCTATGAAGCGAAATGGACTTGACCCCAAACCTGGCTACATCAATACATTTAATCATAGGAGCGGGTTTAAGTTGTTCTGTAGATTAACTCACCATGGCACCAGGGGTTGCAAAGGAGGATGAAGTCTCCCACCACGTAGCCCTGCTGACCGTGCTGTGTGAGCACGTGGAGCTGAATACTGTAGAGCCCTACGGAGGAAGAGGCAGGGCTGGATATGTACAAAGAGGGAGAGTTGGGGTTCAGGCCTTTGGTGGTGAAGTAGGCACTCCATTGGGAGGGGGATCCCTGCTTGGAGAAGGTGACGGGGAACTCCACGTACAGCTGACCTGTTGGGGAAAAGGAATGAATATGGATCAGATAACACAACGTACACCACCACTATTGTCTCCTTAATCCTCATGAATGTGTATAATTTAGCTTTCTACAGAGTTAAATACATCATCCACGCTCTGACAAGAAATGTCCTAACCAATTATTGACAAAAAAATATGACTTGAACAGTATGTATGGCAGTGTACCTAGGAGGACTCTGAACACCAGGGTGTCAGTTTGTGGGTTGAAGGCTCGTCCCTTGAGGAGCAGGGTGACTTTGAAGGGTGCTCCTCTCCGCACCACCAGGGTTTTAGAGCTGAACCCCTGGGTCTCGTGGCTCTCATGGTTGCCCTGCAGTTCCAGGTTGACAAATTGGATAATCAATTCTGGAAAGAAAGAAACATTGGGCTTTTGTCAATGGAATACTGAAAACTTTAATGTGAGTAAAATGCAGAGATCAGAAACTACATCAAAATGCAGCAATACCAAGGTGTTCCTTTTTCCTATTCAATAAGATATCTCATCTGAATAGTAAATTCTGCTTAGCAGTGCTAAGAACACATTTACAATTCCATATTTTTCATTTTTTTTACAGATAATAAAATCGTTCAGATCATTTACACTAGAATAATTTCAAGGATTATAAAGGATTATAAAAGCATACTGATTCAATTGTGGTGTCAAGAGTTCACAGGTGTGCAATGTTAAACTGCCTTGAAAGTGTTATTGCGGATTGACCATGTGACCACAAACCACAGCTTGATAGCTGAGTAAATCTGAGTTGTGACATAACCCACCAAAGAATCATACCACTAAACTTGTAATGTCACAGGCTGATAATTTAAGTAGTCTAAAAAGAAAATAGTGTAGTGATAGTCGTAAGAAATAGCCTAACGATAAGTATAACAAAAGCAGTATCTCACCTTCCATTTGTGTGTGCTCCGGTTTGAAAGATTTACTGTTTAATGATATTGGGAACACTTTCCATCTCCACCTATTTAAACAGTCTCCTCTGCCCCACCCACAGGAGTGTCTGAACAATTACTGTACTGGGTGTTTGCAAGCGGATTTACTGGTTTCGCCTATGATCACTGACAGGTTTTTAACATGGCATACAACATTTATGTGGTCGCCTAGGGAAAGAGTTGCACAATAGTCAAAGTCATAGGTGTGTTCTTGCCAATGTGCATGTTTAGAATGTGAGTGACTAACAGGACCAACCCACTCAAAAGGACAGTACATCCCAGATATTTACCGCTACGCCCAAGGCCATAAATTCATACTGCCAGCGGAAGAATTAGCCACTCAAGACATGACAGGTTAGCCCCCATTCAGAGGAAACCTAGGCAAGCCATGAGATAATTCCAAAGACAATAGCAAGGATTTTCTCTAAGCTCAAATTCGGCCTGCCACCTTCCAGCTAACCACAGCCAGCCAGAGGCTGCAAGCTATTTTTGTTGTTTCTATAAATACCTTATATTTTTGTGATTTTAATTAGATGTAATTTATTTGCCAATTTAAAAACACAATACAACCACACATGTGGACATAATCAATTTACAATCATTGCTGATTACACAAAAGTTGATAGGCCTACATCTAATCATTTATTGTTTAAGTTAATGATATAATGATTATGCCCAAAAATAGCCTACATTTTTACCATTGATTTAATATAGGCTACTATGTATTTGAGGCACTACAAACGGTTCCTTTCTAGCAATAAATGCCACTTCCTAAACTGTCTCACCCACTTGAAGAAAACCCACAGCGGAAAAGCCTCAACATAACGTTTTTCATAGCTACCATCCTCCATGGACATCACTAGTTACCACAGCCACAGAGTCATAAACCCTGCCTATTTCTATAAAACTACACTGAACAAAAATATAAACCAACATGCAGCAATTTCTAAGATTTTACTGAGTTACAGTTAATATAAGGAAATCAGCCAACTGAAATGAATTCATTAGGCCCTAATCTATGGATTTCACGAGTGGGAATACAGATATGCATCTGTTGGTCTTAAAAAAAAGGTAGGGGAGTGGATCAAAAAACCGATCAGTATCTGTTGTGACCACCATTTGCCTCATGCAGTGCGACATATCCTTCGCATAGAGTTGATTAGGCTGTTGATTGTGGCCTGTGGATTGTTATCCCAATCCTCTTCAATGGCTGTGCGAAGTTGCTGGATATTGGCGGGAACTGGAACACTCTGTTGTACACGTGTCACGAGAATTTTGTTATCTCAATGGTTGAAGTCAAACACTTCTTAAATCTTTGAATAATTCCCAGAAATTAATTAAACAAAGACCCAATCCTGCAATGGTCAGCCTTTATTCATTGAGAGCGCTCTGCAACAAAATGGTCATACAATCTTTTTATACACACACACGTCAGAGGAAAAATCCCACCCTGCTTTAGGCACGCTGTATTTTTCCACCGTACACATCTTGTAAGCTCACACCTGGGTTTAGCTCATGTGATTTTCCTCTGCTCTCCTGACCATCAGGTCACACACACACACACACATACATGTTCTTATCATAGTCTACTCCTTGCTCGGGCAGGCTGCATTCTTTAGTTATCACCGTCCTCACAATATCCTGCAAGCCTTTTCACTCCCCCTTTCCCTGTGTGTTTTTGGAACCAGTCTCCTGTAATTGGTTTCAATCATTTTGCACTTCTGCTTGCCTAATTACAAGACAAATACTCTGTTGCTGGGATATAAACACATTTGATTAACTCTCTAAGCTCTAGTCTACTAATTAGTCATACATTATTAGTTTAACTGAGGGTGTGACATTTTAGTCATATCTTACTCACACATTTCTTTATCAACACGTCAATCCAGAGCATCCCAAACGTGCTAAATGGGTGACATGTCTGGTGAGTATGTACAGATCCATGCAACATGGGGTCGTGCATTATCATGACGAAACATGAGGTGATGGCGGTAGATGAATGTCACGACAATGGGCCTCAGGATCTCGACACGGTATCTCTGTGCATTCAAATTGCCATTGATAAAATGCAATTGTGTGTGTTGTCCGTAGCTAATGCCTGCCCATACCATAACCCCACCGCCACCATGGGGCACTCTGTTCACAACATTGACATCAGCAAACCGCTCGCCCACACGACGCCATACACGTTGTCTGCCATATGCCCGGTACAGTTGAAACCTGGATTCATCCATGAAGAGTACACTTCTCCAGCGTGTCAGTGGCCATTGAAGGTGAGGATTTGCCCACTGAAGTCGGTTACGACGCCGAACTACAGTCATGTCAAGACCCTGGTGAGGACGACGAGCACGCAGAAGAGTTTCCCTGAAACGGTTTCTGTCAGTTTGTGCAGAAAATCACAGTTTCATCAGCTGTCCGGCTGGAGTTCCTGGTTTGGTGTGGTTACAAGTGGTCTGCGGTTCTGAGGCTGGTTGGACGTACTGCCAAATTCTCTAAAACGATGTTGAAGGCAGCTTATGGAACATTCAATTCTCTGGCAACAACTCTGGTAGACATTCCTGCCAATTGTACGCTCCCTCAAAACTTGAGACATCTGTGGCAACAACAGCTGTGGCAACAACGGCTCAGCTGCGAAGTGGTTGGCCACACAAGCTCACAGAACGGGACCACTGAGTGCTGAAGCAAGTAGCGCGTAAAAATCGTCTGTCCTCGGTTGCAACACTCACTACCGAGTTCCAAACTGCCTCTGGAAGCAACGTCAGCACAATAACTGTTCGTTGGGAGCTTCATGAAATAGGTTTCCATGGCCGAGCAGCCGTACACAAGCCTAAGATCACAATGCGCAATGCCAAGCGTCAGCTGGAGTGGTGTAAAGCTTGCCACCATTGGACTCTGGAGCAGTGGAAACGCGTTCTCTGGAGTGATGAATCACGCTTCACCATCTGGCAGTCCGACGGATGATTCTGGGTTTGGCAGATGCCAGGAGAACGCTACCTGCCCCCAATGCATAGTGCCAACTGTAATGTTTGGTGGAGGAGGAATAATGGTCTGGGGCTGTTTTTCAGGATTTGTGCTAGGCCCCTTAGTTCTAGTGAAGGGACATCTTAATGCTACAGCATACAATGACATTCTAGATGATTCTGTGCTTCCAACTTTGTGGCAACAGTTTGGGCAAGGCCCTTTCCTGTTTCAGCATGACAATGCCCCCATGCACAAAGTGAGGTCCATACAAGAAAGATGAAAATGGCTGGCCTGCACAGAGCCCTGACCTCAACCCCATCAAACATCTTTGGGATGAATTGGACCGCCGAGTCCGAGCCAGGCCTAATCACCCAACATCAGTGCCCGACCTCACCAATGCTCGTTGCTGAAACATTGACTAACGTTATATCTACAGTGGCTTTTGAAAGTAGTCACCCCCCTTGGCATTTTTCCTATTTTGTTGCCTTACAACCTGGAATTAAAATGGATTTTTGGGGGGATTTGTATCATTTGATTTACACAACATGCCTACCACTTTGAAGATGCAAAATATGTTTTATTGTGAAACAAACAAGAAATAAGACATAAAAAAGGAACTTGAGCGTGCAAATCTATTCACCCCCCCCATCTAGCCACTGGGATATTTGCCCATTCTTCAAGGCAAAACTGCTCCTTCAAGTTGGATTGGTTCTGCTGGTGTACAGCAATCTTTATAAATCATACCACAGATTCTCAATTGGATTGAGGTCTGGGCTTTGACTAGGCCATTCCAAAACATTTAAATGTTTCCCCTTAAACCAGTCGAGTGTTGCTTTAGCAGTATGCTTAGAGTCATTGTCCTGCTGGAAGGTGAGCCTCCGTCCCAGTCTCAAATCTCTGGAAGACTGAAACAGGTTTCCCTTAAGAATTTCCCTGTTTTTATTGCCATCCATCATTCCTTAAATTCTGACCAGTTTCCCAGTCCCTGCCGATGAAAAACATCCCCACAGCATGATGCTGTCACCACCTTGCTTCACTGTGGGGATGGTGTTCACAGGATGATGAGAGTAGTTGGGTTTGCGCCAGACATAGTGTTTTCCTTGATGGCCAAAAAGCTCAATTTTAGTCTCATCTGACCAGTGTACCTTTTTCCATATGTTTGGGGAGTCTCCCATATTCCTTTTGGCGAACACCAAATGTGTTTGCTTATTTTTTTCTTTAAGCAATGGCTTTTCTCTGGCCACTCTTCCGTAATGCCCAGCTCTGTGGAGTGTACGGCTTAAAGTGGTCCTATGGACAGATACTGCAATCTCCGCTGTGTAGCTTTGCAGCTCCTTCAGGGTTATCTTTGGTCTCTTTGTTGCCTCTCTGATTTATGCCCTCCTTGCCTGGTCCGTGAGTTTTGGTGGGCGGCCCTCTCTTGGCAGGTTTGTGATGGTGCCATATTCTTTCAATTTTTTTATAATGGATTTAATGGTGCTCCGTGGGGTGTGCAACGTTTCTGAAATCATTTTTTATAACCCAACCCTGATCTGTACTTCTCCACAACTTTGTCCCTGACCTGTTCGGAGAACTCCTTGGTCTTCATGGTGCCGCTTGCTTGGTGGTGTCCCTTGCTTAGTGGTGTTGGAGACTCTGGGGCCTTTCAGAACAGGTGTATACAGTGAGGGAAAAAAAAGTATTTGATCCCCTGCTGATTTTATACGTTTGCCCACTGACAAAGACATGATCAGTCTGTAATTTTAATGGTAGGTTTATTTGAACAGTGAGAGACAGAATAACAACAACAAAATCCAGAAAAACACATGTCAAAAATGTTATAAATTGATTTGCATTTTAATGAGGGAAATAAGTATTTGACCCCTCTGCAAAACATTACTTTGTACTTGGTGGCAAAACCCTTGTTGGCAATCACAGAGGTCAGACGTTTCTTGTAGTTGGCCACCAGGTTTGCACACATCTCAGGAGGGATTTTGTCCCACTCCTCTTTGCGGATCTTCTCCCAAGTAATTAAGGTTTCGAGGCTGACGTTTGGCAACTTGAACCTTCAGCTCCCTTCACAGATTCTCTATG